AGTAACCAAGGTCCAACCGGGCTTGTTCACTGTGTGCAGGACAATTTCTATTTACAGTTTTCTGTGAGCGCTACAGTGTCTTTTTTTTCTGGGATCAGTCCATCAAGGTTGGGGTAGGCGAGGAGGGAGGAGGGATGTTGTACAGCACGGATCTTTTCTCCCTTTGAAGTACCCGTATAAATTTAGCTCTTGAAAAACATGGAGTTCCTTTTTCGGATCCGTGTGAGAGTGATCTTTTGCCCCCGTCGCCTGTTATCGTGACTTAAAGGCAAACATTTATCTTACTAAGGGCTTTCCTCTATCCCACTTTGACTGGAATTTTTCTCTCTTGTTTATTACATTTCCTCACCCTTTTTGTCTTCTTTCTCCTTTTCCTTCTCTTTCCGTGACGTAACAAATGCCTGTTGTTTCAAACTTCTGTACGAGTTCGTTCGGAAATGCTGCTGGTATTTGTGGCTTCATTTTCCTCCGAACTGTTTCGTCACTATCTCTTGGTTATACTGATATGATTACTATCAATACTGGGTTTGTTAAAGAGGAGAAAGACACGGCTTCAGTTTTATTCCTGGCAGGTGTTTTTGTGTCTATATTTAATGAGCGTTTTTCTTTGATATGCGCTCTTTTTTCGATCGAGTTTTATTCCCATTAAGATTCAGGTGCAATTTACAGGAAGACTTTGTCTTGTTTATTGCCTTCCAGGAGTTGGGTTTGATTCGCTAAAGTAGTGCAGCTTTTGTGGTGATTTCTCGTCTCTCGAGAGTTTAATCGATTGATTGGCATTGCTGTGAAAGTTTTTCGTTCTTAAGGATGCCCTCGGAATGGGATCGGCCCCATATGCGTTGGACACTTCGGCTCGAATATGTTCTATCCGATCGAACTGCCCTCGATGCTTTCCGAGACTGGCTTGGCGCCAATTCGAATCCTCAGGTATTCATTTTCTTCTCTAAATTTGCCTTGGTAGTTTTCCTTGGAATCCTGTACAGTGCTGTCCGGTGCTAGTTGCATTAAGCCACCTGACGAGACAAGGCTATGCCCACTAACAGACATCATCCTTGGGCGCAGCCTATCGGGGGAAAGTCCCAGGGAGGTTGTAAATGCTTTGGTACAATTTTCCGATTGCTGTTTTCTCCCGTGCACCTATCCTAACCTATAGGCGCCTTTCCAAGAAAAAAAGCAAGAAAGTATATGGAGAAGGCACTAAGTAAGGGCCTGGCAGTTACTCTGGATGAGTTCTCCGGACCTGCTCGTTTTATACCACTAAAGCGGTGTCCAACCACCTCTGGCTCACCAATCGTTCCACTGCGTCTGCAGTCAGTAAGAAAAAATGAAAAACACGATGTGAAAACTGAACGCGTCACAGAAAATAGTCCTTGAGTTTTGGTGGGCGGGACAACTAGGGGGCGTCAGAACTGCCACATGAAGTCGCGGGAGTGGTACAGTCTTGTAGGACCAGATTGCTTGTAGAAGGAAGAACGCCTACGATTTGCTTGAGCGCGGAAACTGTCTTTAAACGCTTTCTTTTTATATTTTTGCAGCATGATAGAGGCATGAAAGGCTCAGTAAATCACACCGAAGAGCCTTGTCTTCAAATTTTTGTGACGAGTCGTAAATTTCATGAGTAGTCGGCCATCGAACTCAAGAACTTTACGATTTTTGGCTGCACGTAATAGGACAAAGTACTGATGGACAACAAGCAAAAAGATCGACCGGCTTCAAGGGATACTGTTCATGGGCAAGGGCAGGGCTGTATGAAATGAAGCCCAGGGGCGAGGTTTTATTAACAAACCTTGAAGTTACTCTTCTACGCCTGATTGAAAGGGTATTTGTTTTCTGTTCCTCTTTCGGCGATAAAGCGTGGGAGGGATTTTTGTTTACAGTAACTGCCGAATGATTTTAGTTTGTTTAGTTTTGAAAATTTCGTTAGAAACCTTCAAAATGTACATTTTTTCTGAAATATTTGAGTTTTGCGAGGTTTTCACATGTATGAATAAAGCGGTGTTATCGATAACGTCGCCACCAGCATTTTGCTGTAAAAGCATTAATCTTTGTGTCATTTTATAGCCCCTGGAGTTGCACTTCGCAGTACTTGCGTACGATCGAATGTCAGCACAACGAAACGCCCAAACAGCTGAATTGGCTCGATCGATCTACCAAAAATATATATCCCTTCGAACGGCTTCCGCTTGTTTTAACTTTATTCCTCACAAAATTCGGCAAGAGGTAATTACCTTCACATTTTAAACACACTTTTTTTCTTTCTATACGAATCAGCTTTTAGACATTCCCCCAGATATGATCTTTGCAGATTGGTATACGCCTGAAATCCACTGGCTCAGGTTTTCCTGATCCTAGACTGTTCGCTGGTGTACTACCATACCTTGACTCATTCCTACGT